ACATTCCTAGTGACATAACACAAGCACAGTGCAAAGAAACTGCTATCAGGATAATACAGAACCACGTACAAGTCATCGTGCAAAACAATGAAATCAAAGAAACACGTTTGCTAGGAAAACCAGGAAGTAAACACAGTATAATGATCCGACTTCATTCATACGATAAAAGAAAGGACTTAATTAAATCAGCAATTACAATGAAAAATGGAGTGTACATAAATGAGTGTCTAACAAAAAAACGTCAAAACCTTCTGTTCAGGCTGAGAAAACTTAAACAGGAAAACAAAATACATCAGTGTTTCACGCGAGATGGGAAAATACTAGTAAGGAAAACATCAACAGGACAACAATATACTATCTCAAATGAACACGATTTCTTTTACCTTCCTTAGAAAAGCTGACATTTTTGTAACAGATTAGATAAGTGCCCTTAATACATATTTTACGTGTGGTGCATATAGTGTACGTTACTATTATATTGTACATTATTATTTTTTATTATTTTTCATCACTAGCTAATGAAATACCTCCAATACTCTATACTTCTTTCTTACTACTATAAATTGCTCATAATTTTAAATTACAAGTCAAATCTTACTCCAAATTAATAATATTCATTATTCTTACCTGTCCATTTAATTTTGTTTATCACTACTTGTTTTTTAGTCACTTTTTATTGTGTATGCAATTAGTGTATATTCCAATTACTTTTTTGCAAGTACCAAAACTATCTTTTGTAGCTAGTACCAACTACTCATTTTTTTTACTTTTATTGTGCAATAAACTGCTCAATTTTTTTTAATATTACAAATCAGATCTTACTCCTAAACCAATATTATTTCATAGTGACCACCTGTCCATTTAACTTTGTTTACCATTACTTAATTTTAGTCCCTCATATATTTTCTCTCCTTTATTTTAGCTTTATATAACTACCCTAGTTTATACATTCACAATTGTTAAAATAATCAAGGTGCTATTCTCAGGTGCTAAAGTAGAATAAGTTCACAACTTTGCCATTATATTCCAAACTACCTTAGCTCATTATTTTACATTTGTTAAATAATTCAGGTGCTATTTTTTAGCTTAAGACTATTTACTTTGTTTTATACTTAATTCTAACTATAGATTCACTACAAATCTTATGATTACAAGCATTGATCCTGATACCAACCTCTTATTTAATGACTTAAATGATTCAAACAGTTACTGTAATTACTACACTGCAGAACAATCAAAGGCACTTCTCAGTGCCAACAACAACATAACTATCTTTAACTACAATATCAGATCTTTAAGCAAGCATTACGATGACCTCATAGCATTACTAAATTCCTTACATGCCAATATGTCCATCATTACACTAACTGAAACCTGGCTAAAGCCTGATAGTACAGATGTCTATGCCATTCCTGGTTACACAGCCATACACAACTGTAGGCCAGACCAACAAGGGGTGGCACAGCCATATACTACTCAGACCAACTAGAATGTATCACTAATCTTGCACAAGGGATGAACATGGGAATATATAATAGCCAAATTCAAATCCAAATACTACAAAAACCTCTCACATTGATAAACATTTACAGAGTTCCACAGTCAAACATTAGCCAATTTAGTCAAAACCTAGGAAGTATGATAACTGATGCACGCATGAACAAAGATCACTTACTACTCTCAGGTGACTTCAGTATAAATCTCCTGCAAGACCAGGACCCACACGTTACTGAATTCACAAACACAATGAGTAACTGTATGTTGCTACAACAGTAACAAACCTACAAGAGTTACAGAGACTAGTGTTTCCCTACTTGACCACATCTGGACCAACACCATATCCCCTTTAAAATCAGGCATAATTACAGATAATACCACAGACCACTACCCTACTTTTCTCATAACAACTCTTGGTAAATTACCCCAAGACACTACTAAAGTCACCTTCAGACTTCACAATGAGGCAGCCATTAATAACTTCACAACAGCAGTAGCAAACATTGACTGGCACACTGAGCTAGAAATCTATACAGATATTGACGAATGTATTAATAATTTTCTAAAAAAGACCCAATACCTCTATAACAAGCACTGCCCTAAAAAAACTAAACAGATGACAGCTAAGAGACTGAACAGTCCCTGGTTAACACCCAGCATTCTCAAATCCATAAATACAAAACACCAATATGAAAAAACAGTACAGAATGGGTCACATAACCAGAGACCAAACAAAACGTTACTCGTCAATCCTAACCAGCCTGATAAGAAGGGCAAAAAAATTGTATTATGAGAACAGATTATCCAACTTACGAGGTGATATAAAAAAGACCTGGAAAACCCTATCAGAAATTCTAGGAACAAAAAAGATATCACGAAATAGCGAAATAAAATTAGCAAAATCAGATGAACCCCAACTCCCCACCAAAAGAAACAGCAAACAGACTCAATGACTTCTTCTCCACTATAGGACAAAACCTTGCCAATAAAATCCCAAGCTCAGATACCCCACCAAATGACTACCTCACTGGCAACTACCCGAACACACTGTTCCTAGCTCCGACTAACCCATACGAAGTCTCCCTTATTATCAACACGCTAAAAAACAAGGCAGGAGATTTAAATACCTTACCACCCTTTATATACAAAAAAGTGTCACAAGTGCTATCACCAATCATTGCAACACTCTTTAACAAATCCATTGAATCCTCCACCTTCCCCACAGTACTCAAAATAGCAAGGGTCACCCCGATCCACAAAGGAGGAGACCAAACAGAGTTGAATAACTATAGGCCAATATCCAACTTACACCCTCTCTCAAAAATCTTCGAAAAATTAATTCATAAACGAATCTACTCCTACCTTATCTCCCAAAACATACTCAACCCCTCCAATTTGGATTCAGGCCAAATAAAAATACTAATGATGCTATTATACACATGCTAGAACATATATACACTGCAATAGAGAAAAAAGAAGTCCCACTGGGGATCTTCATTGACTTACGTAAGCTTTTGATACAGTTAACCATGACTTGCTCCACGTAAAATTGTCACACTATGGTATAAGAGGGCACTCCCTCAACTACCTCAAGTCATACCTCAGCAACAGAAGCCAATATGTGTATGCAAATGGGACAAACTCTTCTGCACAACCAATTACAGTTGGTGTCCCACAGGGAAGTGTCCTTGGCCCTCTTCTCTTTCTCCTATACATAAATGACCTACCAAATGCTTCGCAATTACTCAAACCCACACTATTTGCAGATGACACTACATACGTCTTCTCCCACCCGAGCCCAGTCACGCTAGCCAATACTGTAAATACAGAATTACAGAAAATATCTACCTGGATGAGGACTAACAAACTTACACTAAACATTGACAAAACCTACTTCATTCAGTTTGGTAACAGAGCTACAGATGTCCCTCTTAACATAATGATAAACGGATCACCTATCACAAAGCTAACAGAGGGAAAATTCTTAGGAATCCACCTTGATAATAGACTCAAATTTCATACACATATACAACAAATTTCTAAGAAAATTTCCAAGACTGTAGGCATACTATCGAAGATACGGTACTATGCTCCACAGTCAGCCCTCCTGGCCCTATATCACTCTCTTATTTACCCCTATCTCACCTATGGAATTTGTGCATGGGGCTCAAACAACAAGTAACCATCTCAGACCACTAATTACCCAACAAAAGGCTGCAGTTAGAATGATAACAAATTCTCACTATAGGCAGCACACTCCACCAATATTCAATACACTAAACCTATTCACCATACAAAACATTCATAGTTATTACTGCACCTATTACATACATAGAACACTTAACTCTGATATTAACCCTCCCCTCAAACATCTCCTTGCCAACCTCAACAGAACACATGACCATAACACAAGGCACAGATCACTCTTTGATGTTCCTCGTGTCCATCTCACACTATGCAAAAACTCAATGCACATAAAAGGCCCTAAAATCTGGAACTCATTACCTGTAAATATAAAAGAAACACTACCTGTTTATAAATTCAAGTCTCTTCTCAAAGATCACTTACTCACCCAAAACCAAATAAATACTGAATAACTGAACCTTATAAATTGTATATCTTAAATGTTTCTCACAATTATATCACATAAATGTTAAACCTAAAACCTAATCTAACTTTATTATTTTTTAAATACACTACCTAACAGAATACTCCATTCTACTGAATGTACAACAATGCATACAACCATATGACCTGTCTTTGTAATACTCACTTGTGCTTTATAGTAATCTGTTTACATTAAAGTTTTATCACCGATGTCATCATTGCTTAGTTCATCTTAAGTTAATTTTAAGCCAGCCCGTAATGCTATGCATAGTATAAGTGGCTTTGGCATACTGCTCTTTTCTGTATTTTTTGTACCTCTGTATGTGTGCACAAATTTTTAAATAAATAAATAAATAAATAAATAAATAACAGATCACTCTTTGATGTTCCTCGAGTCCATCTCACGCTATGCAAAAACTCAATGCATATAAAAGGCCCTAAAATCTGGAATTCATTACCTGTGAATATAAAAGAAACACTGTCTGTTTATAAATTCAAGTCTCTTCTCAAAAATCACTTAATCACTCACAACTAAATAAATACTGAATAATTTTATCTCATAAATTGTATCTCGTAAATGTTTCTCATTATTGTATCTCATAAATGTCTAACCTGTGACCCAATTAAACTTTATTTTTTAATTACATTACCTAACAGAATACTCCATTCTACTGAATGCTCAGCAACACAGTAAATGACCATATGACCTGTCTTTGTAATACTCATTTGTGTTAAATTGTTATCTGTTTACAATAATGTTTTTACCACAGAATATATCATTGCTTAGTTAAGATTAAGTTAATTTTAAGCCTGCCCATAATGCTCTGCATACAAGGGGCTTTGGCATGTTGCACTGTAATAACTTTGTACTTCACTGTATCATGTTCAAATAAATAAATAAATGGTCAACTTTTCACCCTTGCCGGGTGTTGATCCTGGACCCTCTGTGTGAGCTGAGGATGCTATGGTGTCCCGCGGCCTGGTAGGCAATGCTCTCGCCTCACACACTGAGTGTCCGTGGTTTGATCCCTGGCTGCGTGGAAACATTGGGCATGTTTCCTTACACCTGCAATTCCCGTTCACTTGTCAAGCAAGTAGGTATCTGGATGTCAGTGGACTAGTGCAGGGTCACATCCTGGATGACAAGATTGAAGGATCCCAATAAAAATAAGACAGACAGTTCTCGATGATACACTGACTTTCATGGTTATCCTGGGTGACAAACTCTCTGGGTTGTTATGATATATATTGAGGTGTTTTGTCCACCTGGGACTTGATCAAGCTATCTTGTATACTATCGTTATTTGCCTAAAATATCAGTTTGCACTCAGAACGTTTATGCTTCTGTTTAAAATATTTGTCGATTTTCAGATATGAAGCTGACCTTACTTTTACCCTTATCTAATAGTATCCAGTTTACCTCAAAACCATTGCTAATGACATCTAGCAGCATCTAAACATTTACAGCAAATTGAAAAAGCCAAGTTGCAGAGCACCAGGGTGATGGCTACACCCTCACCAGTCTCATGTGCAGTGTTCTGCTTAGGAAAAATTCCTTGATCCAAGGAATTGGACCTGTGCTCTAATTCCTTGAATCGAGTCTAAATGCCTTCCATTCCCCAGGCACTGTATGACCTCCACAAGTTTAGCACTCCCCCATGTTCAAAATAATGTAATGTGGCCATGGAAACAACTGCCTACAAATATTCTCATGATGAAGAAATGTCATATAATGGTTTAAGGCATTTAATACAAGTGTTTTATAGCAGTATATACAAATTTTCTATTGTTACAACTTGCAGTCAGTATAAACAAGCAGAACAAAACAAATTTATTTTTAAAATATTTATAATTATTACAAAATTAGGCAACATTTATTTCATACATTCTGCAAAGTTACTGGCTATGTAGAGCATTTTGAACAGTCAAACTTGTGACATAACACATTATGTATAATTAAAGTTAGATTATTTGAATGCTAAGTTTACTATAAAGTTATCTGAAGGGCTTTATTATATATTCTCTTTTCATTAATCTTGTTAACATAATACAATTGTTTGATGTATATAATGTATATATAATTTGTCTACCTCTTTGGGGTTAAATCCCAGTCTGTATTTTTTTTTGTAGGTATGTTTTTTGTTAATGGAGCTGAGGAAGCGGTTGATATCCATGGGCTATGTAGTGACCTTGTTTTTAAAGGACAATGTTTATTGTAGAGACCAGTTTTTTGTAGAACTGCAGAGACAAGTTACTGCTGTGTTCACTGTTGTTCACTGATGCTTCATCTTTGAGCTAAAATAAGATTTTCTTAGTTTTAAGTGGTATTTTATTCTTGATATGTTGGTGGCTTGGAAGGTTTATTTATTTTTTTTTTTATTATCACACCGGCCGATTCCCACCAAGGCAGGGTGGCCCGAAAAAGAAAAACTTTCACCATCATTCACTCCATCACTGTCTTGCCAGAAGGGTGCTTTACACTACAGTTTTTAAACTGCAACATTAACACCCCTCCTTCAGAGTGCAGGCACTGTACTTCCCATCTCCAGGACTCAAGTCCGGCCTGCCGGTTTCCCTGAATCCCTTCATAAATGTTACTTTGCTTACACTCCAACAGCACGTCAAGTATTAAAAACCATTTGTCTCCATTCACTCCTATCAAACACGCTCACGCATGCCTGCTGGAAGTCCAAGCCCCTCGCACACAAAACCTCCTTTACCCCCTCCCTCCAACCCTTCCTAGGCCGACCCCTACCCCGCCTTCCTTCCACTACAGACTGATACACTCTTGAAGTCATTCTGTTTCGCTCCATTCTCTCTACATGTCCGAACCACCTCAACAACCCTTCCTCAGCCCTCTGGACAACAGTTTGGTATCCCGCACCTCCTCCTAACTTCCAAACTACGAATTCTCTGCATTATATTCACACCACACATTGCCCTCAGACATGACATCTCCACTGCCTCCAGCCTTCTCCTCGCTGCAACATTCATCACCCACGCTTCACACCCATATAAGAGCGTTGGTAAAACTATTACTCTCATACATTCCCTCTTTGCCTCCAAGGACAAAGTTCTTTGTTTCCACAGACTCCTAAGTGCACCACTCACTCTTTTTCCCTCATCAATTCTATGATTCACCTCATCTTTCATAGACCATCCGCTGACACGTCCACTCCCAAATATCTGAATACGTTCACCTCCTCCATACTCTCTCCCTCCAATCTGATATTCAATCTTTCATCACCTAATCTTTTTGTTATCCTCATAACCTTACTCTTTCCTGTATTCACCTTTAATTTTCTTCTTTTGCACACCCTACCAAATTCATCCACCAATCTCTGCAACTTCTCTTCAGAATCTCCCAAGAGCACAGTGTCATCAGCAAAGAGCAGCTGTGACAACTCCCACTTTGTGTGTGATTCTTTATCTTTTAACTCCACGCCTCTTGCCAAAACCCTCGCATTTACTTCTCTTACAACCCCATCTATAAATATATTAAACAACCACGGTGACATCACACATCCTTGTCTAAGGCCTACTTTTAGTAATAATAATATCTTTATTTACTGCAAGTACATGTACATGGTATATAGGCCTAGCTGACATAATTGACATACTACTATATAGAAAGCCCCTGGGATCCTCTCCAAGATACGATACTACGTGCCGCAAACTGCCCTTCTCACACTATACCATTCGCTTATATATCCATACCTCACCTATGCTATCTGTGCTTGGGGTTCAACTGCAGCAACACACCTAAAGCCAATAATAACCCAACAAAAAGCCGCAGTAAGAATAATCACTAAATCCCATCCCTGGTAACACACCCCCCCCACTCTTCATAGATCTAAACTTACTTCCTGTTCAGTACATCCACACTTACTACTGTGCAGTCTACATCTACAGGACCTTAAATTCCAATATTAACCTTGACCTAAAACGCTTTCTTGATAGTTGTGACAGAACCCACAGGCACAACACCAGACACAAACATCTCTATGACATTCCCTGTGTCCGACTAAACCTTTACAAAAATTCAATGTATGTCAAAGGCCCTAAAATCTGGAACACCCTACCTGAAAATCCCAAAACTGCAGACACATTCATCACCTTTACGAATACCACCTGGTGGTTCACACTTACACTCACTCGCCCATTTGACCATAAACAGAAATATCAATCTCAATCTCAATCTCAAAATAATGAATCTTAACTAGTCATAAGTTGGCCTGTGATACTCCAATACTGAAACTATGTATAGTGCCAAAACAAAAGCATTCACATTGCTAAACTCACAACTAGTATTTAGTCACTTAGCCATAATACCAACTTACCTCATAATTTTGTAATATTTTAAACTTAAGATTTAATATAAGTCTGCCCGAAATGCCTAGCTATGCTAGGTGTTCTAATGGTACACTCTGTAATTATCATTTTACTACATGTAAACCACACAATAACCAAATTCTGTAAACTCAGCATTGTAATCCTTATAGAGAATAAACTTTGAATTGAATTGTTATGCAGAGCATTTCGGGTAAATTAGGTCAGTTTTGTCCCAGGATGTGACCCACACCAGTCAACTAACATCCAGGTACCCATTTTCCTGATGGGTGTAAGGAAACACATCCGATGTTTCCACCCCTTGTAGGTTTGGTAATTGATGGCATAATAAACTTTTCCTAGGTAGTAGGTTGGTAGACAGCAGCTGCCCAGGGAGGTACTACCGTTCTGCCAAGGAAATGTAAAACAAAAGCCTGTAATTGTTTTACATGATGGTAGGATTGCTGGTATCTTTTTTCTGTCTTATAAACATGCAAGATTTCAGGGACATCTTGCTACTTCTACTTACTTAGGTCATACTATGCATGCATGTACAAGCATATGTATATACACACCCCTATGAGTTTTCTTGTATTTTCCTACTAGTTCTTTTTTATTTCCTCTGGAACAGAAATCTTCCTCGATAAGCCTTTTGTGTTGTAAGAGGTGACTAACATGCCAGGAGCAAGGGTCTAGTAACCCCTTCTGCTGTATGCATTACTTAAGTTAAAAAGAGAAACTTTTGTTTTTTCTTTTTGGGCCACCTTGCCTCAGTGGGATATGGCTGGTTTGTTGAAAGAATAAAAATAAACTTTTATTCATATTGTCGATAATGGTTCAAAGAACCGACAAGTTCATGAATTAAACACGTGCAACACTTGGGTATCTTTATTGAGAAAATATTTTGCACTGCAGTGCTAAATGTTTTAGTAAAGTTACCCAAGTATTGTACACCTGGAGTTTACCTGGAGAGAGTTTCGGGGGTCAACGCCCCCGCGGCCCGGTCTGTGACCAGGCCTCCTGGTGGATCAGCGCCTGATCAACCAGGCTGTTGCTGCTGGCTGCACGCAAACCAACGTACGAGCCACAGCCCGGCTGATCAGGAACTGACTTTAGGTGCTTGTCCAGTGCCAGCTTGAAGACTGCCAGGGGTCTGTTGGTAATCCCCCTTATGTGTGCTGGGAGGCAGTTGAACAGTCTCGGGCCCCTGACACTTATTGTATGGTCTCTTAACGTGCTAGTGACACCCCTGCTTTTCATTGGGGGGATGGTGCATCGTCTGCCAAGTCTTTTGCTTTCGTAGTGAGTGATTTTCGTGTGCAAGTTCGGTACATGTGACTTTATTCATATTGTTTATAAAATAAGTTACTTGTAGGTCTTCTCATTGAATAAAGTTGATAGTAAATCTACAGCAATTATTATTAGATGTTTATTTAGTTTTTGGTATGTAATTAGCCTTCACTGGCATCAAGGTATTTTCCGTGAAATGACAATTCCCAGGATCTGAATTTTAAATAATTTTTTCTTTGTCACAGACGTAGCAGAGGAAGCCAGATGTAGAACAATGACCTCCAATGTTACACTCGCTGAAAAATCCATGATACCTTCATATCACCGCCCTCCTTGTTTGACCACGTTAGCTGCTGGGGCTATTGCTCGGAGCCTCACATATGAAGATTTTGAAGAATGTAATCATTATAGGTAATAATTTTGAATGTTTTTTTTTGTGTAAAACATCTTTATACTGACTAAACAAAAATTCAAGTAAGTCAGAGTTGTATATTATATAAGGTATTATTGTGTTCTTCACTGGTTTTGGTGGTATGTTAAGTTACACTGTAAATATTGGAAGGCAATTAGATTTTATCTGAAGCTTGTCTTTATCTTTCAACAAACTGGCTGTATCCCACCAAGGCAGGGTGACCCAAAAAGAAAAACGGAAGTTTCTCTTTTTAACTTTAATGATGTATTCAGGCGAAGGGGTTACTATCCCCTTGCTCCTGGCATTTTAGCTGCCTCTTATGACATGCATAGCTTATGAAGGAAGAATTCTGTTCCACTTCCCCATGGAGAAAAATTATCATTTTGAAATGTAGCATCATAATATTCTAGCTACAGGATCACATTTGTGACTGTCCCAATGCCATTGTATTGAAGAGAGAGAGAGAGAAAGATAAGATTTCGTTCGGATTTTTAACCCCGGAGGGTTAGCCACCCAGGATAACCCAAGAAAGTCAGTGCATCATCGAGGACTGTCTAACTTATTTCCATTGGGGTCCTTAATCTTGTCCCCCGGGAGCGACCCCCCCCCCACAAACCCAGGTACCTATTTGCTGCAGGTGAACGGGAAAACGGTGTAAGGAAAGTGTAAAAAAGTTTCCACCCCCCGGGAATTGAACCCGCCCCCGTGGGAAGGGGGAGCTTTAGCCCCACCCCCGGGGCCATCCACTGTAAGTAACCTTTCACATATTTTTACAAAGCTTTTGTCACTACGGGTTTTGTAAATTTTCCCCAGTTTTTTCCTTAAACAGTGAATGATTGTTTTCATCTAAACATTTTTTTTTTCTCATTACTAAGGTGGGACCCTTTTTAAAATATGGCAGTATGAGTTACCACAGAAGAAAAAGAAAAAAAAAAAGTCCACCGGAGAAGTCAATTTATAATCTGAAAATGACCAGCCATTTTCCAAAACCCAGTGGGTTGTGATTACAACAAATAATTGTTTTGTAAAAGACTTGGCATTCATTTTTGTAGGGTCCCTAAAAATTTTTTTTTTTTATTGATTATTGCCAGTGTTAATTTTAAGAGGTAAAACAGCAAAATGCACCGAAATCTTGCATGTTTTTGAGACAGAAAAAGGGACACCCCAATCCTCCCTCATGTAAAAAAAATTACGGCTTTTGTTTTAAAACTCACTTGGAGGGGCGTAGACCTCCCTGGGCAGTTTCGTCACCAACCTACTACCCAGAATTCGTGCTACGGGTTTTAATACTTTCCAAAGGGAAAAAAAAAAAAAAAAAAAAAAAAAAAGAAATTTTTTTGGGGGAGTAGTGGAAAGGGTTTTAGCACTTGAAGGAAAATATGTTGGGACAGACTTAAAAAGGGCTCTGGTGGCAACTCCAAAGCAAGGATTTTTTTTGACAACACTCTATTTTCTTACAAGAGGGGGCTCTAAAATGCGGGTCATAAATGCCTTGGGGATTAGGAAGCAATTAAAACGTGCAAGGAGAGGGGGTAGCCCAGTTTTTTAGGTTTTTTGAGCTTTTGACCAATCAAAGGGAATTGTCTGTGGAGGGACAGAACTATTAACATTGTCATATCATTTTTACTTGACTATGAGACTGAAGTGGCTTCAGCAGGATTCATTTTCAACTGGGTTTAAAGAGACTTTAAATTTTAAAAACAATTTGGCAATTTTTATTAATTTTGTTTTCCCCAAAAAAACCTATTAAAAACTTAGACAAAGCTTTATTGCTCAGACAACCTAAAAAATTGAATTTTTTAATTTTTCTGCTAAAAGTTCGACTTTTTTTGAAAAAAGCTGCTAGCCTTTTTTAGGCTTTAGTGTAGGCTCCCCAAAGGTGTAAAAAAATTAGTGAGGAGGGAAAACTGAGTAGATTTAATTTTCGTAAAAAACGACCACAGAAACTGGTTTTTTTTTGTGAAAATTAAAAATATAAAAAAGTAGTTGCAGAAATACCAACATATTACGCTCAGCCATGTTTTTCTTTTAAAAATTACATAAGTTTTTTTCCCCAAAAAAACCAACTTTCAATTCATTTATATTAGTTGCATATAAAAACCAGACAGTCTAAAAACACTTCGGTAAAATCAACCTGCTGATAAAAATTTTTTATTTTGGCATCAGGAATTGATCAAAAACTTAAATGTTTTAATTTTCAACAGCAAAAATAAGAAGTTTTGATTGGTGGGGGAAAACAGCACCTTGGAGGTTTAGATTCATATGCGGAGACAGATTGTAAATGCATTGAGCGGGTAAGTTGGGCTTCCAAAACAGGGAAGAAATTTTTCCCTTCTTGTTTTCTTTCGATCTTGTGGACACCAAAATTTAGCTTGGTGGGGGGGCTTTGAGATTTTTAGGTAGGAATACTCCTTTTTGTAAGGACAAATCCTTTCTTGGTTGTAAAAATAAAAATGAACCACATGATTTATTATTTTTGTTTTAATTCATTGACCATCTCCAGCTAAGGCGGGGTGACCCAAAGAAAACACGTCCAAACATTCACTCATTCGCTGTCTTCCAGAGGTGTGCTGACATCAGAGTCAGGTTACCCCTCTGATTGTCACATCCCCACCCCTTCTTCAGAGTGTAGGCATTGCTGTTCTCACCTCCAGGAATTCAGCCCTGCTAGCCAGCTTTCCTGAATCCCTTAATAATAGTTACCCTGTTCTCACTCCAATAACATATCCATTATTTTTTTTTTTATCTTATTAGCCATCTTGCACATGAGTGGGGTGACTTAAAAGAAACCATTCACCATCTCATTTAATCACTGTCTTGCCAATAGTGTGCTGACTTCATAGTTCAGATGACTCCTCAGGTGTGCAACATTCACATCCCTCCTTCAAAGTGCAGGTATTGCCCATCCCCCACCTCCAGGACTCTGATCCAGATAATTAATTTCCCTGAATCCCTTCATAAATGTTACTTTGCTCTTGCTCTAACAGCACATCAATCATTAAAAAGTACCTGTCTCCAGTCATTCCACTCTGATACATCTACACAAGCCTACTGGATGCACTCAAATCCTCTTTTACTCTTCCTTTCAACCATTCTTGGGATGACTCCTACCCATCCTTTCTTACACCCCAGCTTTATACACCCTTTACATCATGCATAGCCTCTCCATCCTCTCTGAATGTCCAAACCAGCTCAACAACTTTTCTTCAGCCCTCTGAAAATTTTTATGCCTATTATTATTAAAAATAACTATTTTTTAAACTACTGTATTGTTAACACAATAATGTTTGAATGCTTTAACTGATTTTACTTTACAAATTTTATAGAATTTACATATGCAATGAGCTGCCTGTGTACAAAATTATAAAATATTTAGGGTTTTGACACGTGCTGTATAGTAATACTTTCTTTCAACACACCGGCCGTATCCCACCAAGGCGGGGTGGCCCAAAAAGAAAAATGAATGTTTCTTCTTTTACATTTAGTAATATATACAGGAGAAGGGGTTATTATCTTCAATGTTCAGGCATAACATGATGCTGGAAATACAGACTCTTACCATTACCTTATATTTTTATAATGTATGGTATTGTACTTGGTATGTGACCTCTGTACTTTGGATGGTACCACAGCAATGTTCATAGTACAATACATTACTTTTTTCTGTGGTAGGCCTGGAAAGTTATGTTTAATATACAGTATTGTATTCATATTATTTGAGTCATGGAAATGTTTTAAACTCATATAGGTCATGAAATGCCATACAGAAGAGGGTAAGAGATGGTGTTGAGGAAAATATAGCAGTCAGTAATTGGGGGAAAGGATAACAGTTTATATTGCAAATGATTGTCATAAGATCATAGTGAGAATCTGCAGTATTATTATTACATAATTGTTGTTACAGGGAACATTAAACCCATAGGCTCTTTTGCTTTTGACAAGGAGAGTTGGAAATATAATGATTTTAGTTCCATGAGACCTAAGGAATCCATTTCTTTTCATTTAGCTGCTAAATAAACAGGTAAAATGTTTGAAAGGGGAGAAGAAAATTAAAAATTAAGAATGTAGGAAAATAAAGTATTTGTAATCTTGATTTATTACCTAAGAGAGGGAAGTTTTGTGGGGATCAGCTCACTGCATTTAACAGCAGGGTGGGGATGCAACCAGTTGCCAGTTTTTAACATAATCCAAGCTACATTTTGAGTCTTGGGGCTGGAATAATCTCTACTTTTGTTATACATTGCCCTGGATTGTTTTAATGAATGGCAGTGTATCTCTCACACCAAATGAGAATGGTAAATCAGTTTCCATGTAATTCTTCACTCATTATTTTTATTATTATATTTATGAAAAGGGCCAGACTATTTCAGTCAATAAAGGGCTGAGGAGGGGTTGTTGAGGTGGTTCAGTCATATGGAGAGAATGGAACAAAACAGAATGACTTCAAGAATTTATAAATCTTTAGTGGAGGGAAGGTGGGGTAGGGGTCAACCTAGGAAGGGTTGGAGGGAGGGGGTAAAGGTTTTGTGTGCAAGGGGCTTTGACTTCCAGCAAGAGTGCATGAGGATATTTGATAGGAGTGAATGGAGACAAATGGTTTTTAATACTTGACGTGCTGTTGGAGTGTGAGCAAAGCAACATTTACGAAAGGATTCAGGGAAACCGGCAGGCCGGACTTGAGTCCTGGAGATGGGAAGTGCAGTGTCTACACTCTGAAGGAGGGGTGTTAATGTTGCAGTTTTATAACTGGTGTAAAGCACCCCTCTGGCAAGACAGTGATGGAGTGAATGATGATGAAAGTTTTTCTTTTTCGGGCCACACTGCCTTGGTGGGAATTGGCCGATGTATTAAAAATAATAATAATAATTTTTTTTTATTAATTTTGCATGTATCCATCTTCAGACTGTATCTACTGACAAAAGTTCAAAGGGAGGGATGGTTAGAATTTTAGACATGCCTACATTGTATACCTTTCTCATTCAAACATTACAAAATAAACAAAAATATTAATAAAATTGGGGACCCATATATTTTCAGTGAATGGTGTTCAGATCTTGCTCAAGTGATAACACAGTTGGGGCCATTTCCACTTCAGAAGTTATTTGTAACTGATGATACACTGGGAATTAAACCTGTCCTTACAGCTTTGGTACAACAGTCGCCACACCTACAGGTAAGGAACAGTGGTAATTCTGTATATTATATATGTAGCTTGGAACATGTAGTCTCTCTTCAACATCCTACTTAAAATATTCAAATGAATGGGTATTTTTTTCAAAATCAGATTTTGTGTTGAAGAAAATATTAGTCATATTTCAGTGCTTGGCCTTAGAATGAATATTAAAAAAATCCATATTCATTGTTTATTGTATTTAGGCAAGATCTTTCACTAACCTCGGGGAACTCTTCTTGAAGGGAATGAATATCTTAAATGCAAGAAAAGTGTCAGACTAAAAGGGTATGTTTTATCATAGTAATTTCATTAACAAGAGTTTCTAGTTGGTATTAATATTATTACAGTCAAAATTAAGTACTGAACATATAAGGATCATACAGCGCTGCAGGGTAATAGTATGCCAGATCAGCGACCAGCAATGGTGATGACACCAGAGGTAGAGTCAGTGAAGGTGGTGAGGAATGCTAAAGGGAAAGAATAATCAAAATCAGTGTAAATAAAGCTGTCGCTGACAAAAAGTCAGAGGTGTAATTAGTTTTTAGTTGGTGTGTGGATGTTATCTTACACTTTGATTTCTTTTGATAAATTACATTTTCTTGTGACAGGTATTAAAAATGAACCAGTGGGCCCTTAGTAATGACTTCATGATATCTTTGGGAAGTCACTGCAGAATGCTTATAGAGTTTGCTATTCCATATATGCAGCCACAAGTGTTTATGAGTGATGAGTCATTATTTGCATGTTTTTTTGATGGCATGACAAGTGAAGAGGTAGTAAACTGCTGGAAAGAAGGTACAAAACCAAGGATATCATTTGGCCACCTCAAATATGTTGATATTCTGTACTGGAAGCCAACAGAAAGATTCATTCAGATGTTGTGTGTGTTTTATCCAAATATACGACTGTGTGAAATTGATGCTTATGTGGATGAAAGTGAAAAAAATCTAGTGCAGCCCTTCTTGGATGTGGGCGCTAAAGTTATGGCTCTGAGGATAAGCTGCAGAACCAAAGGGATTCTTGATGAGAGACTAAGTTGCTTAGTCAATAATGCCCCATTCTTACGAGAACTAAGACTGCACATGGATGATTATTTTGAAGGTGCAGAATGTGATTCTTTGTTTGCGAGAAGACTGGAAGAAGCAGGAGCAAAATTAAAAAAGTTGGTATCTCAAATGACTGCATTTGAATCTCTTGCACTACATCCACATGAAGAAGTAGACATGTCAGTAGTTGTTCTGCCGACACTCCATGCACAAGGAAGCTGTATAACTACTCTGCATATATGTTACGAATACGCACAACTGAACTCCAACACGTTGTACCAGATAATCAACCTGTGTCCAAGGTTACATTTCCTGGCAGTCTCTATGGTAATGAACGACAATGATGCTGCATCCAGAAACTTCAGGTGGGTGAGCATAAGGCTAGTTGTATATAGTATTTTAGCTAAACAACACTAATTCAGAAAAAATATCAAATTTAATAATCGTTGTCACCTTATCTAGGTCGATTCCTATCCTCACATCTTCATTGTTGCTGTTCTCCATGATTGAATATGGCATTTTACAAACTGAACTTAATATTCTGAATTCTTTATATATTTTATTTTCTGTTGAGCTTTAAACAATCAAAAATTCCTGTTTTTCTTCAGTCATGTGGCATGTGTGTATTATACTGTCTTTATCCAATTCGTGTATACATTCAACTTTTTTAGCAACAATTCTTTATTAGGTTAATCTCTACTTTCTCCTTAGCTTGTGTTTTGCATTATTATTAATAGAATATTAATTTCCCTGTCATCTGTAAGTAAATACCTGACTGATGACCATGAGAACTTCTCATAGTACATACATGCTATAATATCAGTAAGCAATTCATGCATCATGGTGGTATTTCCAGTGAGAATAATTTTTTTTTTTTAATAGATGTGAGGATATGTTGTGTATCTTTATACGTATATGCTTCTAAACTGTTGTATTCTGAGCACCTCTGCAAAAGCAGTGATAATGTGTGAGTGTGGTGAAAGTGTTGAATGATAATGAAAGTATTTTCTTTTTGGGGATTTTCTTTCTTTTTTGGGTCACCCTGCCTCGGTGGGAGACGGCCGACTTGTTAAAAAAAAAAAAAAAATGAGGATTTTCTTTGTAATTAACCCATCCTATTTCTAATGGAAAAGGAGGTACAGTTGAGGTACAGTTGTTTTTAACACACTTCCTGTTTCCCACTGAGGTAGTGGCCCAAAAAATAAGAAACATTTTCACCATCATTCAGCCTACAACTATCTTGCCAGAGGTATGCAAATACAGTTCACATGCTCCTCCAAACTGCAGATATCCCTACCCCCTCCTTCATAGTGCAGGCACTGTACTTTCCACCTTCATGGCTCAAGCCTGGCTAACTAATTAACCCATCCCTATTTCTAATGGAAAAAGAAGTGCAGATTTTTTTTCAACCCATTGGCAATCTCCTACCAAGGCAGGGTGACCATCATTCATACATAATTATGTGTGAATGATGGTAAAAGTGGGGGGATTGAAAAAAAAAATCTGCAAAAAGTGATTATAATCACTGTCTTTGCAGAGGTGCACAGGTATGACAGTTTAGATGTCACGGCAAACAGCTAATATTCCAAACCCATCCTTCAAAGTGCAAGCATCATACCTTCCACCTCCAGGACTCGAGTCTGGCTAACCGGTTTCCCTGAATCCCTTCACAAAATATTACCCTTCTCACACTCCAACATTTATCTCCATTCACTCCTATCTAACAAGCTCACACAGATATTAGGTGCAAATCTTTCAACAAATTGGCTGTTTCCCACTGAGGCAGGGTGACCCAAAAAGAGAGAAAAATACTTTCATCAACACTTTCACCATCACTCATACATAACCACTATCTTTGCAGAGGCACTCAGATATGACAGTTTAGAAGTCCTTCCAAACTGCCAATATCCCAAACCCCTCCTTTAAAGTGCAGGCATTGTACTTCCCATTTCCAGGACTCGAGTCTGGCTTACTGGTTTCCCTGAATCCCTTCACAAAATATTACTCCACACCTCCTAATTTACACACACTCTGAATTAGGTAGACATTAGAATTAAATAAATATGGCAGTAAAAGTGTCAGTGTAGTTATGGTGGTGTACATTTTCCATCAGGACCATCCTTCGTCCCTGCATGACGTTACGTACCCTAGTGATCCAGGACATTCCTGCCGAGGTAACTAATGCTCACGACTCTTCCTTCACCAAAGTGGTTGGCAATATATTGAATGCTGCTCCAAACTTAGGGGTAAGTACTATTTTATAAAGTAAAGGAGTACAATATATGCCTCTGTATTTTTTAATTATACTTGTCTTTGAAGTCTGTAAATTCACCGTTTAGTGCTTGCGAGTAAAATAATAATAATGGAAAGTCTTTATCAGCAAATTTTGCTGAGAATAAGAAACAAGTTTTTGAGAGAGATGAATAAACTGAGGAAGCCTGTAAAGCAAATGGACTTGGCAGTTAAGAAAGAGGGGAGATGCTAGATGGGGAGGTAGAGGTACTACTTACTGGAAAGATGAAGGATATTTTGATGAATTGGTGAATGTTAGTGAATGGGAGGCACTGATTTTATGCATTGGTCAGGGAAGGATAACATTGTATAGGAGTGCAGAGCAACTTAAGGTAGTAGTGGGGAAAATGAATGAGGCAGTGGGTAGAATGAAAGGGAGTAAAGTTGCTGGGACAGATGAGATCAAGACAAATGTTAAAAATGGTGGTGGAGTGGTTGATATATCTCAATATATGTATGAAATCTCCATGGGGAAGTGGAACAGAATTCTTCCTCCGTAAGCCATGCGTGTTGTAAGAGGCAACTAAAATGCCGGGAGCAAGGGGCTAGTAACCTCTTCTCCTGTATATATTACTAAATGTAAAAGGAGAAACTTTCGTTTTTCCTTTTGGGCCACCCCGCCTCGGTGGGATACGGCCGGTGTGTTGAAAGAAAGAAAGATATGTATGAAAGAGGGAAGGTTACTTAAGGATTTGCTGAGAGCATACATAGTTCCTTTGTATAAAAAAAAAAGGGGGATGCAAGAAAGTAAGAATTACAGGGGACAAACCTACTGCTGGTTGGATTTGAGTCTGCAGGGAAGGGCAGTGTCTGCATTCAGTGTGTGTGTGCAGTCAGAGGGTAATGTGAATTGGAATGTCAGCACACTTCTGGCAAGACAGAAACTGAATGAATGAATGATGGTAAATGTGTTATCTTGGGGCACCCTGCCTTGGTGGGAGATGACCATTGAGGTAAAAAAAAAAAAAAATATCATTAACCATTAGTTTTGCATGTTGCATAGTTATGAATAAATTTGTGTGCTGCTTCATAACTTATTATATGGTACATTATAATTATCATCAAAACCAAGCACTAAACCCATTAGGGTCATTATTATTATTATTATTATTATTATAATCAAAAAGAAGCGCTAAGCCACAAGGACTATACAGCGCTGCAGGGCAGGAAGGAAGCGAGGGCATCAGGTGGCAAAAGGGAGATGGATGAGTAATAGGTTACGGATAACAGCGGGGCAGTGGATGGTGAAAGGGTAAAGGGCAGCAAGAGACTGAACTAGAAAGGGCTGAGGGGAGTGCGAAAAGTATCATCAGAGTTTGTGGAGTAAATCAGTCGTTGTCAAGAAGTCAATGAGAGAGTCAGGATTAAAGGAGGGTCCATCAGCAAGAAGGGAAGGTAAAGAGAGAGTAGTAGAACGAAGACGACGTTGGAGGTAAATTCTGCGTGCTCATTGATAGAGAGGGCAGTCTAACAGAATGTGGCTAATCGATACTGGAACTTAACACTGCTCACAGAGAGGAACAGGGTGCCTCTCCATGAGATACCATGAGTAAGACGAGTGTGACCAATGCGAAGGCGGGGAGAGAGTGGTCTCCCAACCTCGGCACTGATGACAAGAAGACTGCCAGTAACCTATCTCGGTTTAATAGAATGAAGTTTGTTACCGAGCAGAGTTGACCAACGTTGTTGCCAACGGGTGTGAAGGTGGGTAGCTATTGCAGCAAAATAGTCCAGAAATGGAACACCTCAATAGGAAATTGGTAGGTCATGTACTGCTGACCGCGCAGCAGTGTCTGCCTGTTCATTGCCCTGTACGTCGACATGACCAGGGACCCAACAAAAAACAATATCTTTATGTTTGGTAGAGATACGGCGTAGCCAAAGTTGGATACGGAGAACTAGGGGATGAGATGTATCAAATTTTCGTATAGCCTGTAGAGCACTAAGGGAGTCTGAGACTACTACAAATGATGACACAGGCATAGATGCGATACGAATAAGTGCTGCAAGAATGGCATACAGTTCAGCAGTAAAAATGCTAGCTGAAGATAGTAAATGTCCCCGACGACGCTGTCGGAAACCTGCTTTCGAATCCGACGCCGTCTGAAGACTTAGAGCCATCTGTGTACACAGCGGTGGCATGAGAATGGGAGTGGAAGTGATCAAGAAAAAGAGAGTGGGAAGCCACCGTAGGCAGTTGAGCTTTCGAGCAAGGGAGTGAGAAAGAACAGACCCGAACAGCTGGAACTTCCCAGGGGGGTAGGGAAAAGTGAGATGCTACATGAACATATAAAGGTGGTAACTGAAGGGAAGACAAGAATGAATGTAGGCGAAGAGAAAAGGGACGGAGCAAACGGGCGGCGAACGAATAAAGAATGTCTACTAATATCGGTGACCATTCTATAAATGGAAGGATTGTGTAGATCGTGAGAGCGTACATAGTAGCGAAGGGAATGGGCATCACGGCGATCAGACAAGGATGGAACATTCGCTTCTGTATAGAGGCTCTCAAAGGGGAAAAAAGCGAAAAAGCACCAAGGCACAAACGTAACCTTGGTGATGGATAGAGTTAAGGCTAGAGAGAGTAGCAGGAGAGGCCGCGGAATAAATCTGGTCACCATAAAACGAGTTTCGATAAAACGAGGGCTGAATGTAGGCGAAGCAGAGTTCACGATCAGCTCCCCAGGAAAAATGAGCAAGGGTTTTTTAAGGTTTAGCCGGCTGTGACAAGTTTCCTTCAGAGAGGTTATGTGAGGTTTCCAGGATAACGACGGTCAAAGAGAAGGCCTAGAAACCTGACCTGTATCACGTTCGGGGATACGGGAGCCATAGAGTACAAAGGATGATCGGAGATAACAGAGCGTCTAGTGAAAGTAATTTTGGTGAGTTTTGGTACTTGAAAATTAAACCCATGCGTGGTGCCCAAGTGGAAACACGGTCGACCGCATGCTGGAGAGAAACTGCAATAAGATGACGTCAGCGCCTGCACAAGCAATAGCGAAGTCATCAACATAGGTGATGACCAAAAATATTGGGTGGAAGAACAGAGGCCAAAATCATTTATAGGCAAGGAGAAAAATTTTGTGCTTAGAACACATCCCTGAGGACACCTTCAGCTTGGACAAAGTCCGGGGAAAGAACATTATTGACTCGAACACGGAAATGTCTGTCATTTAAAAAGTTCTTAAGGAAGGATGGTAGATTGCCTCGGAGGCCTAAGGAATGGGCCTGGGCCAAAATATTATACCCCCAAGTTGTGTCATATGCCTTCTCAAGGTCAAAAAATATGGCAATAACTGAGTGATTATTCGCAAAGGCATTACGAAACATAGTATCCATGCGTTAGTAAGGGGTCTATGGTAGACTCGAACCTTACGGAAAGCCATATTGACTAGCGGGAGACTGTTTTCGGCGAGTCTCTAAATACCACATTAAACGTCGATTTACGAGGCGTTCATCACTTTGCAAACTGCCACTTGTAGAGCGATGGGGCGATAGTGGGAGGCATCCATGTCCTGTAGTACCGGTTTGAGGAAAAAAAGGCGAGAACATGGCAGATTTTCCACAGCTGGGGAAGAACTCCTTGTGCCCAAAATTAGATGAGGGTGTAAGAGGACTTAAAGCGGCTGGACCGATGGTAAATGTTGTAACATACGAATATTGAATGTCATAGCCCAGCTGAGCTTGCGATGATCGGCAAGCTGGAGGTAGCCGTTGCCTCAGTTCTTGAAGTGTAAAAGGCACATTATACTGTTCTTCTACGAAGGTGAAGAAAAAAGTCCAAGGGTACTAACTCACATGCAGACTTTGTGAAAGAAACGAGGGCATAGATGAAGCCCTCGGGAATACGGACCAGTGTGTGCAAGTTCAATGGCAACGTCGAGAGGTTTGCTATCTCAAACAACAGTGACCCGTGAACTGGAAGCCGGTCAGGAGAGTATTTAACCACTCAAATTCTCATTTTTTCCAGAATGCGATCATAGAAGAAGCAGCAGAGGTGATGGTGTGAAAACATAGTCTCGCCAAACAAGGCGTTTAGCTTCACGGATGACCCGGCGAGCGATCGCACGCTTCTGCTTAAAATCAACAAGTTCTCTCAGCGGGTTCTTATTGTACCGGTACCTGCCCCCTGCAGCCCGTTTCAATCGTACTGCACGGAGCACAAGCAGGAGACCACCAAGGCAGCACTTCTGAGAATGCCATGCCTGAGGTTTGGTGTTTTAGAATGAAGAAGCTGCGGTAATAAACTGATTGTCGAGAAGATGTGTAGAGCTCATCAATGGAGGATGATGAAGGAACCATCACTAAAAAGCAGTGGGTGTGGAGTAAAGATTCCCAATTTGCCGAATCAAATGCCAGCGAGGGCGACGGGAAAGGTGGTGAATAGGATGGAGATCAGTAAGAATGATCGGAATGATCGCTTGTAATGTAAGGTGGTTAGTAGAACAGACAGAGTGAAGTCTAGTGCAGTGGAGGAAGAGCAGACTGATAGATCGATGCAAGAGAGAGTATGAGTACGAGGATCAAAATGGGTTGGAGTACCGTATTTAAAACATGGAGGGGGTGAGAGGCAAGAAAAGCCTCCAACAGATGCACGTGAGTCACAATGAGACCACCCCAGAGGAAATGGTGGGCATTTTAAAATAACCAAAGTAACAGTAGTGGTGGTGCTGGTAGGATTGATGAACAAGAAAGGCAAAGTCTGGGATAGAAAATGCTCGAGAAAGGAGAGGATATAAAGAACATATTGTTAAACCCAAACTTATTCAAGTGGATAGGGCTGCAGTTGTATGCAGCGAGGTATGGACGAATAGTTGACAGTACGAATATCATTGGTAGAAGAAGGGCACTTTCATTAAAGGCCCCCATTGAGAAAGGATCGAAGAATACAATAAATTATAGCCTGAGATAGGTTGGAAAAACAGCCGAGTTTTAATTTTGGTTCTTGTAAGCA